CCCCCCCCCCCCTCCCCCCGACGCAGAGGTGCGAGCTTCGGTCTTGGGGCCATCATCAACCAGGTCTCCGCAGAGGCGTTCGGCGGCCAGCTGGGACGCATCGTGCCCCGCCTATTCCGGTACCGTTTCGATCCAAGCGCCAAGACGCGCGCGGCTATGGACCAGCTCTGGCGCGCTGTTGTCGGTCGTGGCGGCGGTGGCGACGACTGTGGGGACTTCTCGACACGGGAGAAGGAGGCGCGTAGTAATTTATGTTGGACGTATTTCTTGATGTTGTCGTGCGTGCACTTGTGTGCTTGACGGGTGGGGCCAGTAGGGCTCTGTTCTCATCCTCTTTTGCGTGTTCAATTTTATCAACCGGGTGATCTCATCATGGCATCGCTCGCGTGTACGGAAGCGACTCCCCCGCCCCTCGGGAAGATGAACATCGTCCGCTGCGGCCTTTTGAGACGATCCGGCGCACGAGGGATGGTTCCACGCTGTCGGTTTCCAGCCCAAGAATACCCAAGCTGATGTAGCAAGACCTCCCCAAACGAATGTTTCTCTATTTTTCCGTCATTGGCGGCCCAACCGATGTAGGCATTGTTGTCCACTCGTGTTGGCAGATCCCCGCGATTGAGTGTCTCTCTCTCTCGTTTGCTTCGCGACGGCATAAGCGAAAAAAATCATTTTGGATATTAATTCACTCATGTCGGATGGACCCCCACGATTGATCGTCTCTCTTTCTCCATGACGGCACAAACCGATTTAGGTGGTTCACTCAAACCTGTCCGCGATCATTACCGAGCTCCTCCGGGCGCTCGGCGACCGCAAGTGGAGGGACCGCCAGTCGGCCTGCGCCGGTCTCTCGGATGTGCTGCGGGGCCGCAGCTGGGACGAGATCGGTCCCCACCTGGAGATGCTCTGGACCATGGCAGACAGGTTCGGTGTTTTTTTTTTGTGAGCGGACTTATCATGCGAATAAGTAGTTTCCAGGACACCGTTTTTCTTCGACGTGGTCAGATAGGTGGAATCGGAAACACACCCCGAGTTTGGCGGCCCACAATCACATTCGTAGGTTGCATAGGGTTTCACTCGCCCTGGACCTATTTTCGAAGCCCGATTACTCCACGAAGACGAGGATGCCGCAACCATATGATACGTTTTCGGAGAGCTCCCGACGAGAAGGTTCTAGCGCCGCCTTTTTTCGGCACCGCCGTTCATGCTGTGTTTTGTGACAGAATAGTCGAGCTTTGAAAGGCGTTCCAGGGGGGGTGGTATCTAATGCGACCTATGGTAGACCGTGTCCGTGAGGCTTTGGCGGCAAGCTGTTGTGGTTCAAATCGTAGGTACAGGTGCGCCTTCTCTTCCTTCCCACCTTCGTTTCAGTTGACCAACCTCGCCTCGCTAGCGTGTTGTTGCTGTTAAATGCTGGCCATGGGTGACTGCGAACACTCTTACACCCAGCGACCTTCTTGGCCTCACTCTCCTTGCCTGCTGCCCCTTTTGGCCTTCCTGCCTTCCGTTTCAGGGGCCTGGACGACATCAAGGAGTCCGTAGCAGAAGCCGCCGTAGAGTATTCCAAGACCGTCGCCAATATCTCGGTGCGCCTTTGCGACCCATACAACTTCGTGCCTAGCAGTAGAGGCGGCGGCGCTGAGGGAGACACCGCCGCCGCCGCCGCTCGCAACGATGCCGGGGGCGACGGCCCCGACGCCGTGCGCCAGGAGGCCGGCGAAGCACGCCGGGCGATCGGGACCATGCTTGACGACCTCCGCGCCTCGGAAGCGGAGGCGAGGGCGAGAGGAGAAGAAGAGACGATGGACGACCCCGCCGGAGGAGGAGGAGGAGGAGGAGGAGGAGGAGGAGGAGCGTTAGGCACCGCCGAAGAACGAGACGGAGCGGCCGACGAGGTGTTGCGGCAAGTGCTCGAGAGGGAGCAAGGGGCCGGCGAAGGGACCGCCGGGGGCGTTGGCAGGGTGCTCGGAGGGCGACGGAACGGTCCTACCGTCGACGAGATACTGCGGCCCGGCCGTGCGGAGGCGGGTAGAAACGCCTCCGCGCCGCCGCCGACGGAGGCGGCGAGGGCGGCGGCGGCGGGCGCGGTCGGGGTGACCCTGCCGTGGCTGCTGAGGAAGGGGATCCTGAGCCGGTGCAAGCCGTCGCAGGCGCTGGCGATGCGCACGCTGCAGCGGCTGGTGAAGGTGTGCGACAAGGAAGCGCTCATGCCACATCTCGCGGAGCTCGTGGCGACCCTCATCGAGGGGCTGAGCGCGCTGGAGCCCCAGGTAGGGGGGACAGGACAAGCAGACGAGCGTGAAGCAATAATAGCAAGCATGCAGGGACTTTGCACTCACCCTAACCGAAAGAGGGGTAGTGATAATGTAGTGGGAGGGATCGAGTCCGCACTGCTGCTGTTGTTCCTAACGACTCGTTTTGCGAGACGGAAAGACTTTGCGGATGTTTGTACCGTGGCGACGTTTGCACATGTACATATATTGTGGAGGGAGCTGTGGAGATGTTGGTTGTCGACGACAACAAGTTGTGCTCGCTCTCACGTTTGTGATATGGCAGGCCCTTCAGTACATGCAATTCCACGCGGAGACCCAGCTGGAGATGACCCAGGACCAGATGGAGAGGCTGAGACTGTCCGTCTCGCGAGCAGGCCCCCTGCAGGACGCACTGGACAACTGCTACAGGTGAGGCACTGACCGTCGGTGAACGTGCATTCCTCGTGCACTGGCCGTGGTTGTGCTCGTCAGACTTTTAACTCGTCGCTAAGCGAGAGGAGAGCGTGCGATACGTTCTGTACTTCGTGCATGCTCGTTGGACGGAGGACTGCTTGCCGTTGCTCATGTTTGAGGTCACGTTCGTGCTAATGCTGCCGGGACATATGCCGACGCTGTCTGTCGTCTTCCCCCCCCCCCCCCGCCCGTCTGCCCCCTACCGTCTCCCTCCTGGCGCAGACACCTGGACCATGCGGGAGTAGTGGAGGCGCTTATGCCGCGTTTGTTGGGGCTCCTTCGATCGGGAACCGGACTGGTGAGCCTCGACTCCTGTCATATCTAGCCAGCCAGACGATTCCCAACACGCAGTCACAGCAGTGTCTCTCCAACGCACTAAATAAACACCCTCCATCACCACGACATTTGCAGACAAGCTATAGTCAGCCATGCTGGTCGTGCTTGCTCCTTCATGAGCATGAGCTGATCCTTCCTTCCTGCACTACGCTCACTCTTAGGCACAAAATCGGGCCTCTGAGGATAAACTCCACCTGGAAGCAGCCTGTCTGTACTCATCTTCTTTTCACGGAAGATACCGATGATTCCTCTCGTGCACCTTATGGCCTTGTTGCCTCGCTCTTTGGGCAGGCCACTCGCTCCGCGTCCGCGTACCTCGTCCTCTCCCTCTGCGAGCGCGCGCCGCTGGAGATCCACCGCGCCGCGCCCCGCCTGCTGCCGACCCTGACCAACACCGCCCTCTCGGAGCGCAGCTCCACCCTCCGTCGGACGTACTCGTCGGCGCTGTCCTCGGTGGCGAGGCTCGCGCCGGCGGCGGGGGTTTCCCGCCTGGCCAGTCGCCTCGCCCAGCTCTTCAGGGAGGCCGACCCGGACTTCGACAAGCGCCAGAGGCGGACCCTGGCCCTCCTGCTTGGCGACCTGTGTCGTAGGGCCGGCGGGCAGCTCGGAGCTCCCGGCGGCAAGGCGGCGACCGGCGGAGTTAAGGAAGTTGGTGCTTCTGGCGGCGACGGTGGCGGCTTCGCCGCCAGCGGATGGAACCAGGTCCTGCCCATGGCGTTCGTGGCGAGCAAGGACCCCGACAAGCCGGTCGCCGACGCGTTCGCGGAGGCGTGGCAGGAGGGGCTCACGCAGCTGCAGCTCGGGGCGGCCGGGCAGGGCGAGGCCTGCAGAGTGCGCGGCGCGAAGGATGCCGTGCTGCTGATGGTGAGCTACGTTTCTTGCTGCCACACATGCATGCGGGTTGGGAAATCAGAGGGTTGCTTTTCAATCGTGCTTGCTATGCATCCTGTTTTTTACCACCGTACAGACCTGAGCGTGGGGAAGAGGGAAAGGGGTAGCCGGGTGAGGTCGTCTGTGGTCTGTTTGAAGACTCGCTGGCCGGTAAGTTCCGAGTCTGGATGTTGAGACCACAGCGGAGATTGCCCTTTTTCGCTGCTGGATCGCCGTCTCATCCACAAACTTATTCGATAAAGCGGACGCTCGGCACCTGTGGCTGCGTTTCAGCATTTTGTATGTACCCCTCTGTTGCATTTGGTATGTTAACTCGCTCTTGACTTACACAGATCTTCAATCGACTATCCGAACCCAGCTGTTAAGGCAGTGAGCCCGAACAGTCCTTCAACAAGTGGACAGGCACAACTACTTACCTTACGGCACGCGCGTGCTGTGCATCTCTCTGTATATATCTGCAGCACGCGACACACTCTCGTTTTTTTCATAGCTCAGCGCGAGGAAACGTTACCGCTACAAGGTAGGAAGACTGTAACTCATCCCAACGAGGTTAAAATCACCGCAGCGTCAAATCGACCCCCCGCCCCCCCCATCGGGATTGGGTTTTCGTCGCTTGGCAACGACGTTGTCAAACAAGCCCAGTCACTTCGTGAACACGGCAACCAGGTTGCCGTTTTTTTTTTTACCTCTGTTTTTTTTTTGGCAGTAATCATAATGGTGGTCAAGTAGATCATGTTGTGCGGGGTCGAGAACCCTCACTCCGCGCAAGGGGGATGATCGCACCACGTTGTGTTAAAATGGTCAAGCACCCTCGAGGCAGTTACACAGTGCTTACAACTGTCTCTGGAAGTGAAAGCACCAGAAAATAAAT